CAATAAGCTGATATCCACTTTTATAGGCAAGCGACTACAGGGTAAGAATGAAGGATATGGACCTAGTCAATTCAACTCTGGGATGCGCCATGATCTTGAGTTCCATCCAAAAAATGCTTTGAGGGCACTTAAAATCTGGAACCTATAATGCCTTGCACTAATCAAGGTTTGGTCCTTACAAGTGAGTCCGGTACGGTAGGTAACCGACCGCGGAGGAATGGAACGTTAGGCGAGGCTAGAATTGATCCCAAATATGTACGACCTTCTGTCATGTGTTTATAATGCTTCATAACGCTGTCCATCTTTACCTTTTGATCATTCAAGTGACCATAAACCCTAAGACACGAGTATCTGGGTCAGGCGGACAAAAAAATACTAATACCCCCTACATACTCAGTGATTTTAGACGAAGAACTAGTAAGGCATCGAATAAATTCCAAAAATCCCATTTTGCTCGTTTGCTACCAAAATTCAACAGATGAGCTGATTTTTGATCACATTTGTCACTTCCAGTTAAAAGGAGTCAGAGGAGAGACTAGAGTAAGCGAATAAAGCCTGAAAATCCTTTTTTGCCTAATCGATCCCGCAATATCACGAATGAGCCGATTTTTGACCCAGGAATGAGAGCTAACATCTGTACGCAAATGTAAGCATTCTGATTGGATAGGGAGCCCTAAAAAGTCAAATTAACTGAAAGTCAATTTTGACGCGTGTTCTAGGACTTCTTGATCACGTGAAGAAGATTTTTCGAACCACGAACTTTTGTGCACAGATGAAAAAGGAGGCAAAATCCATTTGAAATGCCAATTCAATGACGAAGCCGAGTTAATTCTTAAGAAAACGCTATAGAAAAGGCGGGAATATAATGCGTAGTTAGCATTTTTGTTAAAAAGTCGATTTATTGCGCCGTTCCATTCCAGTCGCTCCATTAAGCGTCCAGCCATTAATCCGTTACGACGAGGAATTCGAGCGGAATGGACTGCTTTGGGCAACATACAGAGTACACCCCTTAAGGGATTCAGAACAGCATTATCAAAAGGAATGTACTTCTCAACTTACTACTTATTACTCCGAGTAATAGTACTACGTAATTGTTAATGGGACAAGCTCGAATTTAGAGGTGTGAGTGGAAAATCGAATGGAATGATTCACCCAATTAATGCCAAGCCTCTTGCCTATTCGAATGTTCTACATCCACCTATGGAAAAGTGGAACTCTTTGCCCCGTTCGTCACTTTTGTTCTGTGAAGTGCCTTCCACTGATTTCGTATTGATTTACCTTTTATCCCTGCTATTTATCACTTTATGTCTTCCCAAGTGTTTCAATATTCTATTTTATTTTTTTTCTTTTTTTTTTTTTTTTTTGGTTTTTTCTTATCACTTTTGGCAACGTAAGACGACTGCTTGGGGGCAAACTGAATCATTAAAAACATTAAACCAAACGGAATAAGACGCAATTTTCCTAAAGAAATCATGGCCATTCTCTTTGATCCATCATACATTTCTAGACGATAGCATAGCGATCAAAGGAGTCAAAAGCGTGGGAATGCTTTTGAAAGGGGTGCAAGCAAGGACGTGAGCGTACTCGAGGGTGTAGTTGAAGAAAATGAGGTTAGAGACGGGCGTGCCAGTTCATCGGCCAAATATTGGTCGATGCCTCTCGACAGGCGAGAAATTGCATTTCAAATTGCCGACCGGCAGCCTCGTGAACCATTGTACAGAATATGGCAAGAGCGCAAAAGTGGTGTCGAGGATGGGGTGTGCGGCCGGGTGTGTTACAAACTATGTTTGTACTTACACTGTTGATCTACTACAATAGTCGCACTTATGCTGTGGAAATGCATGATTAACTCCATGAATGTGTATTTTATATTTGATATTTTATTGTCGGAAACCGAACTCCAAGAAACAAAATATTGCAATTGAAAAAAACTAATCCGCGATAAGTGCGTGCAATAAAGCCGAATGGGATGCCAAAAATAGGAACTGCTAGAACAAGGAGCGGAACGTTAGCGCAGAACGACAGCGGCAGCCAACCCTGCGAAACTCAGCTCCGTTTAGAAGTTCTAGAGAGAGGAGAGAAAAACATTGATCAAGCTTAATGTAAGCAAGGAAATCAAACTGACAAGGAAAGGATGGTAGGTCGAAGTGGCCGTATAAAATGAGATGTATACCACCTGATGCGTCTCTAGACGCTGATTCCAAATCTGCCTTCCAAATCTGCTAAACGACTCTCCGAACGGAGTTATGAAGCGTAATAGCTCAGTGGTGATGGTCCGGGGTGGCAGGTAAAAGCTCGTAGGATCGGTTCTCTAGAGACAAAATTCAAAGCAACCAACTTCGCAAAGGAACCGATCCTACGAGCTTTTACCTGCCACCGCGGACCATCACCACTAAGCTATTACGCTTCATAACTCCGTTCGGAGAGCCGTTTAGCAGATTTGGAAGGCAGATTTGGAATCAGCGTCTAGAGACGCGCATCAGGAGGTATACATTTCATTTCAAAGCTGCCCTAGTAGACAGTGCATTCAATGACTGATTCCTTACTTAGGCCTTGTTAGTATTTCAGCGAACCCAGAAGATCATTAACAAAGTATTGGACCTGCCCAGTGTTATTCATCATGCGTAAGATTGTTTTGTTGAATTGTAAGCTTGCTAGAGTAATTTGAAACTTACTTGGAATTTGCTCATACGCGAGAATTTCTAGTGAAATGATTTTTTCCATTCTTAATTCTTTCTCAATCCGAAACAAATATGCCGTTTAAGTGAAGTAGGACTATCTCTAAAACATATTAAAATTTGAATTGATTTGATTCAGCGGAAAAAAGTTACAGTCGAAAAAATTTCGGCGAAGACTTTTGACCGCTACTGTATACTAATGATAACCTCCGTGTGTCGCGGTGGTGCCCTAGGATGTCAGCCGGTTTTCCGCTAGTTGAGTCCTTTTTCGAACTTCGACCTTAATTAGTAAATTCTATGGTCGTTAACAATCCCTAGGGTCAAATTCGGTGGGCCCGAGCTGGACTGAAAATGCAAAAAGTGAACCCGAAGAAAACCGCCGATGAAGCCTTTTAGCAAGGACTCAATTCCTACGCCCTTGAAATAAGGAGAGAGTGCGGCCTGTCGTGGAGTCCAAATTAGCCTGCATCGCCGCTATTTATTATTGGCTCCATGCCAGCAAAATGCGGCTGCAATCGCATATGCACCGGGTCTCATCCGGTAAGGGGGACATGTGGTGCGACAGTTCATATTGCATGAAGTAATCCACTTTTTTCAGGGAGGGAAGCTCCGGGGTGGGTGTAAAAGTTTTAAGCGAAATGGTTCACGCACCCCGGGAATTCCTCCCCTTGCAAAAATTGGAATTTCTGTAGCCGGCAAGAACTGTCACATCACATGCCCCCCTACTGGATGATACCCTATGCACCAACGCAAACAAAGAAACGTTCATAAAACCATCTTGGTAATTAAAACCAATCAAACCAGGCAGCACTCCTTCAACGCGGCCACTGTTTACATGCAATCGTGGCAAGGATCACGTAGCCGATGACGCGATCTCTCCACGGTTAGGAAATGGGTGTGTTGGTCAAGGCGGACGATCCGAAATTGGCAACTATCCAACTACTTTTCGGCTTTCCGATGTGAGCTCTTGCTTCAGCAACACTTTATATTTTCTCGGTTTAGGGCTCAGCACATCTTCCACTTAATTACTTAGAAGTATTGAATCATCTGAGATTCGGGTTTGCTTCACCACGTTTAACGCGGGTACCTCCCAGGAGGCCCGTCGCGCGGCAAGAAGGCAGAGTCGGCGGACGAGTTGCAGCGCGTGGTGTGCGATGTAGGACGTGCAGTGGGACACTCTATTTAACTTGACGCGAAATCCCTATAGTACGCGCGCGACTCGTCCGCTGACTTTGCCTTCTTGCCGCGCGACGGGCCTCCTGGGGGGGGGGGGGGTACCGGGAAGTCCCAGCAAGGATTTTACCTTCGACACTGGTGTGAAACGATGCGCTAATCATAGTCAAGAACATAAGAAATGTGACTGACCAAAAACCTCACCTTAGAGAGCCGCTAGAATGCGCGAGGGAACCACACGGCCACTCCAAAGCTGTTCAGCTCCCTTTCCAGACTTTCCAAGGTCAGTTTTTTTGTTCAGTCACACTTCTTATGTTCTTGACTAAAGCTCTCGCATCCTTCGACTTCATTAGTAGCAAAAGTATGAATCAAACTGGGGTGGTTGCTTTAAACCAGTTAATGGTGTCGAGTAAAGTACTCGGAGCTTCAAAGCAATCACATTATCACAGTAATCTATATATTCCCCTTAATGGCTCCTGCCTCTACACAACAGTTTAAATAAAATGGAGTCGTCTTTCAGTGGCCTTCACTAAGCCGAACTCAATGTACGAAACAATACAAGAAGTTTTCTAAGCACTCTCTCTTCATAAATACTCTGTTGTACAATCGCTAAAAAAACAAAACAATGAAAAGAAAGTTACAAAAATGAGCATAAGATAATCTGTATAAATGGCGAGAAAGCATCAGCAGCACAGTAGCCTAATATGAAACACAAAATGATATCAAATATGAAGATATGAAAATATGATCTATATGAGATGCCTTACACGATAAATAAGTCATGAATTCCTCTATTAGCAATATAGATTCCAATTCTTCTGAAATTAATTATCTAAGACACTGTGATCACACTCTTTGGCAAGAACTATAGCACTTCATCTGTCTAATGAGCAACTTGACAACAAGTATGTGAGTATGTACAATATTAAGAGATTTAAAACAATTAATTGATATAATTACTATGCAAAATCGTGCATATATACAAAACTCAGATTTAATATCACAGGAAGCAGTACTAGTAACTTGGAAAGTTCATGACTGACAGATTGCAGAAAGTACAAAAAAATAAATATAAATACTGCAAGCGCAATGTAATGTGAACTTCTAATTTAAATAAAAGAAACAAATAAAACTTCACGAAATTGCAAGTCATTCATTGCGCGGATGCGGCTGAGTCCGTCGAACGATTTCCCGGTTCAGCAGGGTCCGCATACGCTCATACCTTCAAAATGGATCAGAAATGAAATCTTCGAATGCAATGCACAGATAACTGCACAATGGGGGCCAACCGTAAAGTAGTTAGCAAATTCGTAAAGTACACTTACTGTGCCTAGTAGTAGAAAAATCTTTAATTACGATTATGATTCCGATACGATTATATACAAAAGATTAGGGCCAGAGCGAAGTATGCACGACTGCCTTACAAATGCGTGGCGGACCTACTTACTTCAGCATTGCGTCAAACAATGAGGAAATAATAACTCAACGCGACCTGATTCCGTTTGAAACACAATAAATAAAGGTCATCAAAAGGATTCTGAGCTATAGTGAACGCTCTGCCTTGCCGGGTCTCAAACCTAGATCATATGCTTCCCAGCCTAAATAGTTTAGCAGGTTTTATAGCAGTTTCTGGTTGTTTGTCAACTGCGAATTTTTGCCGCAGTTCGCGACGCGAATGTTACCACGAGGATGCGGTCAATGGGGTCAGACTGACTGCCCCCGCGCGGGAAAACTGAACCTGATCTCGTAGCTTTTCCCGAAACAGCGCCTAAACATCGACATCGACAGTGCGTAAATTACTGTCTCAATTCCTTTTCAGGCAGCGATAATTTCTCTGTCCAACCATTGGGGTGCCCCAGCCCTGCGAAAGTGATGTTTTGGCCCAAAGCTGCACGTTGGTGGTAACACTCGCACCCCCGGTGGGGTCCCAACTGCGCATGACAGCGAGATGCCAACAAAACAAGAAAAAATCAAGATCAAAAAAGATTCACGGCAAAAAGAAGTGGGCAAAACGACCCATGGCGTCGTTGTTTCTCACTTTCCACCGTAAAAATCAGAGACCAAGAAAAAACGAAAAAGATAGAATCAATTCAAGCTCGACTTGAGAAACTATCCTAATTGTTTTCCAATACAATAAAACAAACAGGATAGGTAAAACTGAATACGGAAAAATGAAGCAGGAAAACAACACAAGAAAAACCCACCTCCGAACCGTGTCAATAACTTCCTGCTTGTATAACTTCAGCATCATTTCTTCGTAGTGCTCTAATTGCATAGTGTTGAACAGATCCCACTGAACATGAAAGATTGATGAATAGTAAAAAAGATTCGAATGGGTCTTCAGCACTATTCCTTAATCACTATTGAAATTGAAACGATCAAGAAACTGTGCTTAGTCTCCACAACTAATTCAATCATAAAATCTCACCCTCTAGCAAATGATCAAGAGACGTATCCGCTTGAGAGTACATCATAAGCCATTGTCAAGGTACCCTCGCAAGATCGAGAGCACTTAAATCTGAATAATCCATTGGATACTAAGTCCAATTAAGGCTTCAACAACCGCGTTTGAAGCCCAACGTTATGCTGGTCCAATAACTATCATTATAGAAGATACGAAAGCCGACACTTTTACAGCTGCTAGAAGCCCCTTGAAATGAAAATCATGCAATTTATCGACTCTACAGCCATAGACGCGTTCACTCCTTCATGTGCTAGACGTGCAGCATGCAAATATGTAGTCTCTCAAAACAAACTCAAGCCACTATGCTGTGGAGCTGACGCATCTCCCAAGATCTTTGAGTAGAGGAAAAGAGGAGGAACGTTGTGTGAGAAAAAAATCGCGGCTGTGCTAATGCAATTTACTCGCTTGAACGGAATTAGAGAAAAATGGAATCGTGATGCTTATCTTTAGCTTCCATTTACCAGCGATCCGATAGAAACTGGACATCACATAAAGGTAACTTATGTGCCATCTTTACTGCACATTAGCCTGCCTCGCACTTAAAGAAGTAAAGATAGCCGATAAGATCTCCGTTCATTGTCATGCGTGAGAAAATATAGACAAAGATCTCTAATAATAATGATGGCTGTTACTGCACCTCAAACAGCACCACCAATAATTCACACAACTCAAATTGAACAGTTGTATTTAAAAGTGCTTGTCGATGGCAAGTATATTAAAGTGTCGATCCTCAAGAGCCAGAATGGCTTAAGAATGAGTTGAACCTAACCCGACTACGATGTTAGCGTCAATCTGCGCTTTAAAAAGGTTGTGCTCTCAAAGATGTGCGTACCAATCTACCAAACTCCTGGCTGTGAAATATACTTCGCCGAAGTTTCTCTCAAAATAAAGGAACTTAAGAACAGCTAAATTTGTGTCTTTTTCGGCCTAGCGAACCAGGTCTGGCATTCTTATTGAAACTATTTTTGAACTTTCCGAAACAGATGATTTTTCAACACCTAAAATATGAGCTCATATGCAGCCCGTTTCCTGTTATATGGATAATCTATTTTTCACCCTCCACATAGTAGGGCAAGCATTTACTATGCTGCTATTATTATGCCTCCCCGCCCCTCCATCTGCTTACTCAAAATGCTACATCGTTCGAATCTCGCAACAATGTTATGAATTAGAGCAAACCCGCGCCGGGGTCAACCGTCCGTTCTCACTATTCGAACGAGGGAGGCCGCATTTGTTATTCGGGTAAGGGGTTTTGAGGCTTTTGGGCTTGAGTAAGGTTAGCTATGTTGAGAAACTTGCGAATGGCCGATCTCAGACTTTGCGACGGGAGCGACTTTGCACAAGCAACGAAGCAATGGATCGCTCGAGCGATCCGTCACTCGGGCAGTGGTGTGCCATTGGCCGTGGTCCTGTCACTTGTGCAAAATCGCTCCCGTCGCAAAGTTTGACGTCGGCCAACGGGAGAATGTAACTGTTGAATTTGAAGGGATGGTGAAGCGGGAGAAGTGGATCGTTTTTGACGAGTTTTTCGAGGAAACTTCATGAAAGAGGCCCGAAATGGATAAAATAAAAGCATTTACGGCCTCATTACACTATTTGCACCCCCGTTCGACTGTCATTTCAGAGGAAAAAGTGAGCAGTGTTCCGAGTGGACTGTGTCGACTGGTCTCACGATCAGACTCAAATACCATAGAAACAGCGCCACAATGGCGAGGTGGTGGTTGGGCGGGTAAGGGGTGGAAGATGTATTGTGAGGCTGATGGTGGCGGTGGGGAGTCGCATCGGACCGCGTTAAAGATGGTCGCAAAAATTTTAGAAGGTTGCGAACGCGAAGATTGATCCTGGCCCGCGCTGAGAATTCTTCAGCGATGAGGATATGAAAAGACATATAACAATGAAAATCAAGTGATAAATATATTTCAAAAGTGAGAATAAAAGCAAAGGCGCAAAAGAATTACATCAAAGAAGAACAATGAAAAATAAATAAATAAACGAAGATTAACTAATAAATTTTCAGAAAAAAAGAAAGGAATTAAATGGCAAATCAGATGACACGAAAAACCAAAGTACCTTCATGATGAATTATGTTGAGATGCTCAACAGCGCTTTCTGCACGTCTACTCGCTACCATCATCGATTCCGTTCGATTAATTGGCACGATCGGGCGACTTATTGGCTGATTCAGTGGTTGAGCAAGGCCAGGATGTTCCACTTGAGATCTTCCATCCATTTCACTAAAATTGTTGCATCGATGACGTTTTGAACAGGCAAAATTCTAATAAACCTTACTTATAGTATATAACACCGGTGTTAGGCTGAAAAATTTTGTTCCATCCAGGTGGTAGGTTTTCTCTAGCTAACGGATGAATCCAGTGCGTTCTACAGGTGTTGTGATCAACATAATACCTAAGAACAAGAAAGATCTAAATAATGACGAAGATCAAAATAAAATAATTTATTTGTACCTGTAGCCGTCTGGAGTCACTTCTACAGCCCAGTTGGGAGGCAGAGGTAATTCATCCTCCTGAGGTGTGCCAGACACCAAGCAATTATCACCTGAAAAGAACGAGCGATGCTTAACCAATCCTGCTTTAAGGTCAGAGCAATGTTTACCAATAATCGAGGATCCAAACTGTCGTCCTTGTCCAGGTAGACTTTGTAAGGATACAAACCGTTGTTGCACTGAGGTAGACTGCCTAGAAATGCTTGAATTCTGGCGGACTAAATATGACAAAGATGGCTGGTAGCGGAATGGAACCTACTCTGGGTTCATCTGATCCATGAAAGATTCAACGTTTCCAATACTATGTGAAGATGCCAATGGCTTTCTTACAGGCTCTCGTTTACTTTGATCACTAAAAGAGAAAGTTATGAAAAACGGGTCCAACTTTGAACACAAGCTTTCATTGGCACCCAACAAGCTGATAATCCCAACAATCAACGTTGGTAATACAAGGATATGATAATCTAGTTACTTCTTTGCGAGCTGCTTTTCCAGTATCATACAAGAATGCTTTTAATTTGATGAGTCCTGACAGCTTACAGCCAAGTGAGCCATTGCACCAAAAAATATGCATGAGAGACATCTCAAAATCTTACCTAAAACTCTGCGAAGATAGCTGAACTCCCATTGGACTTTTTCGTCCATCTCCAGTATTCATGTGATTCACCATTAAATATCCATGCGTGGGCGGTAAAGAATACGTCGAAGTGACACTGATCGCTGAATCTGAATGAGGTCTCGCAGACGAGTTCTCCGTGTACATCATCGCTGAATCCTAAAATGAAGCTGTTGTAACAAATGGATGACCTAGGAAGAACTATCTCTTCTTCCCTCTGGTCCAGAGGGAAATATGGCATAACTGAGAGCGAAACTATGGTTAATGCGCTCACCTTCTGCGAGCGCTGTTCAGAATGGCCAGCCTGAGAAGTAGTTGACGTTTTCGAAGGGTAGGTGGCCTTATTGTTCGACACCGAAGCATCAACAGTGTTAGTCGTCTTTTTAGCAAGTGTATGGGTATGAGCTGCAACATGATAGTTCTGTACACATGTAGTAGAATTATGAAGAGCAAGAACACCTTCCCAATCCAGTCATGGTGAAAATGTATGCGAAAGGTTCAAATTGGTGTTTGATACCACAAGGCCGCCATCAATAGGCTGAGAATATCGTGGAAAATTGTAAAATTTTTACATTAACTGCTCTCTGGTATCTAACACGCAATACAGAGAGTCTTTGCCAAGAGCGAAGAAATGCAACAAGTCATACGTTTACTCAAGCGATTCTATTGGATGATGTGTCTGTTTAGTTTAAAAATGCATGCGCGACTAGAGTTAATAATAAAAACGTTACGGACAGCACAGTGTTCCCCTACTGTTTACGGAACCAACTTGAGTGGATTAGGAAATGTTGCTGGGCCAGACCAAAGAAGGCTCAGAGAATGGCATGTGGCGCGACTGCCTGCCGCCATAAGGTATCCAGATTCCCACAGGGAAGGAAACTCCGGGTTAATGTAAAGCGAAAGCGGAATGGTTCACGACCCCGGGGATTTCGTTTCCCTGCACAAACTGGAATTTCTGTAGGCGGCAGCAATTGTCGCATCACATATCTCCTTACTAAATGAGACCCGCAGATACATTTAGACCTCCTCGAAAAAAATTGATGTTGCTACACTGATGTAGAAAATGAAGCAAATTTGAAAACTCATATGACAAGAGTCTGAACAGAAAAAAAAAACGCACATGAAAGTGAGGGAACCGGAGGTGGACTCGCTCGCTTCAAATATAGACCTTGCGTTCCCTCAATATACGAGGGAAGCTGCTGCTTTTTGCTTCGTGAAAACATCCTGAAACAGTGCCCGTCAGATACATAATGTCATGAAGGACGATGATTTTATTCAAAAAAAATATTTGAACAGCGATATTTCAACTCTATTTATTTCTCTCAGTAAGGGAAGAGGGAGTGAAGGCAACCAGACCATAATTTTGGCAACTCCACGAGCGTGGGCTTCTACAGACAAAACATCACGTGTTCGCACAAATTGACGTCGGAAAACCAATAAGGTTTGCCCCTAACATTAACCAGAGAAGAGGCATAGGAGAACAAAGCCTACAAATTCATAGCCAAAGCAATGTTCTTTTGAGAGGAACTTTAGCGCTTCTACATCAGTATATTCGTTAAACTTACTCGTTCTGAAGTGCTACCTTTTTATATACGTTATACATGAACGGCCACTTGCTGCCTGTTGCCCAATCTTCCCTGTAAAAGTTTGTCTCCAAGAACCCAAATGGAGTTCGACCCTAACTTGTGGCTCAGGGGATCCGGGCGTTTTTAGTTTGGGATCTGATCGTAACGTCGCACAGCGTTATATAGGTACCGATTGCCCGACCTCTAATCTGAAAGGATCCGACGATCGATACGTATCTAAATGCTGTGCGATCGTGACGGACTACACTGCTGACGGCCATGAAACCGTGCTATAATTCAACAGTGGCCATTCGCTTGCAACCAAAAATTCTGAAAAGTAGCGGATCCTAGAAGTGCGCGATGGACCACAGAAATAAGTGCCCCGATCAATACTGCGAAGTGCTCTAAAATCCCGCCGCTATTTCTGCTTGATGGTGATGGTATTACTACATAGTTTTATTATTACATATTAGTTTATATTATTACATCTTCCTGAGTTTTATACAACCAAAGGTGGGGTACTGCGCCAAAAAATTTTGCGATATCCGCAGCAAATCGCACCGCCGGATCGACGGAATCTGCACAGCCCTAGGCTAAAGTGCTCACTAAGCCACACGAAGCCAAACGACTTTTCCGTGTTTCGCGCGCCGAACACTACTCTCAGACACCACCATGATGGCGAATAATCAGGACGGCTGAGGTTCCCTGCAGCGAAAAATGTTTCACGTAGCAAAACGCGAAAAAGTCGCTTTCGGACATCAACGATCGTAAAATGTCGCACAGCGTTAGATATGTATCGTCGCCGAACACTCAGGCAAGTCTGACGATCGATACGCATCTAATGCTGTGCGACAATTACGATCGTTACTGTCGGACGACCGAGTACGCATACGCCCTGGGGCCGTATGCTGAGTTTTGGGGATGGAACGGGGATGGGGAAACAGATCTAAGAGGTCAGTCGCAGCACCCACTTACGCAACTGGTACAAATCACACATTGTGATTTTGCGGTTTGTTTCTAATAGCTCTAATCTCTGAGTGTACTTTGCTCGTAAAGTATCTTTTCATTTCACCGCTTTGAGAAAGCAAGCTCAAAATCAAAGATGCGGCCATTGCCCAGTGGGTTCTGTGACGAACTTCCCCAACTTTTCCCCATCCCCGTCCCATCCCCAACATTCAGCATACCGGACCCTGGTAAAGCACACCCTTGGGCTAAATCCTAGAGAGTTCACCTTATCCTGCGATAACGCCCTCACTTATCCTGAGGTTAGGGTTGCCATTTCAGCAGCACAGATGACTTGAGAAAAAACAAATCTTGCTTCTCATTGGAAACCAACAGATGTTTTAAAGCAAACGGCGACAACAATATGCCAAACGGCTTGTGCTTTCATGCTAAACTGCAAGTTAACTTACCTTTTTGCTTTCTCAACAGTCCGCATAATTTGCTAGTGATCATCCTTACCAAGAAATCACAGATCCTACCGACAGACGCTAAATGGCAGTTGTTTACTGAAGAACTACAAAAGCAATTAAAAAGAGAAAAGCACAGGTATCAAATATAAGCCTAGCACTTGAAAAGTCAACGAACCAGCAGAGTGCTCAGCAGCAAGCAATGAGAAAGCCGAACGGGATTGTGATAGCCGACCGGAAATTGTTTCCCGGTTGACCTTCCAAAGAATGCTTCGCGTGTCATGAAAAAGTCTGCCCGCAGTTGCACGCTAGGCCCTACAGTATGACTTAATTGGAAAGTGGGCGATTGAAATCTCAAATGCTGTATGGTTTCGCAATTCCAAGGTTAGTTTTCTGCTTGTTTGTCTCCTTGTCTGTTCTTACTTCTTCTCCATATTCTGGGGCATCTTTCCTATGTCTCTTTCGTTGGGTCGTTTTGCTTCCTTGGATAGAAACCCTTTCTTGGACCATCGTAAACAGGCTTTTAAACTATTTTATCATCGATTCTGTGTGAGTTAACCATTTTTCAGATGAGTGTCTCGTTGTGGTGGTGCAAGTTTGTTCGACTAGTGCAAGGAATTGAATATGAAGAACTGCACAGACTTTGTAATCGCTATTCCAAGCGAAAAGTGCTAGGGGCTCTATGTGCAGTGATCTTCGTGCTGTACTATCTTGGGATTTCGAGCGGTGGTGACCACCTTTCCAAAGCTGGACAGTGCGTCAAGGAGCGGTTTAGAAATTGGGAGCAAGGAGTCATTGTAAGTTTTATTTCCAGCTTTTGCATTATTAGCTTGTGGTTGCTTTCACACGGGGCTGTGGTTACTTATCAGTTACTCCGCTAAGTGTGACCCTACCCTGAACTGAGCTGTGTGCCACTTCGGCTGTTCGCTGGTTTTTTATGCTTTGGGGTTGTTCCCTTGCGCCTCACTTTAGGGCTCTATTCTCGCGAAGGGCTTTTCTTCGAGCAGCTTTTTCAATGAAAGCTGTCGCTAAGGTCATTCTAAAAATGATAAGTCATAAAGGTTCTGTGATACAGGTGCATAGGTGCTGCTGTAGGTTGACCGCAGCTGCGCCAACTTCCGATCACACAATCGTGTAGGGGTAGATACGTATTGACTATCGCGTGACCGGATAAGTCGGACGATCGGTGGGCCGTATGCTGAATGTTGGGGAGGGGACGGGGATGGGTAAACGTTGGGGAGGTTCGTCGCAGGACCCACTGGGCAACGGTCGCACCTTTGATTTTGCAGCTTTGTTTCCATTCTTTCATCGCTGCTTTTGGTGTAAAGAAAGGTATTTACGTGCGAATATACAATCAGAAACAGTAAAAGGATGGAAACAAAGCTGCAAAATCAAAGGTGCGACCGTTGCCCAGTGGGTCCTGCGACGAACCTCCCCAACGTTCACCCATCCCCGTCCCCTACCCAACATTCAGCATACGGCCCCGGTATGTGTCGACCCTACATTCGGCTGTGCCATAGGACGGCTTAGATAACTGCGTATGACGCGCGACCTCGTAGAAATTGTTTCAGAGCAAGTCGTACGTTTGAGACTACATTGATGAGTTGTTCCCAGTTTTGACCGGCAACAACAATTTTTTAGCTCTATTTTTTTCGGAATGAATGGGTAGAAATCGTGACCAGTAACCCAGTAGCCTACTAGTGCATCTTATTTAACAAGAAATAGTGTGGTGGAACGGCTAGAAATGCATCATCAATCTTCTGCGTTTCAGGATCAGTCAATAGGAGTTGACTCATCTTCAGTGTCATTTATTGGGAACGGTCACATTGGAGTAGATGTGAATGGAGAATTAAGGTTGGCTCATATCTTCTTGTTTTATTTTGCCAAAGACTTGCAGGAAATTCCATA